ACTCGTCCTGCTCTAACACAGACGAGGCCTCAGTCCTGTGCCCACTTTTGGGAGCCACGCTTCAGGAACACTGCTGACAAGTTGGGGAGCCCAGAGGAGGGCAACGGAAATGATCCGGGGCTTTGAAAACCTGACCTGTGTGGAAAGATTAGCAACAAACCTGGGCATGTCTGGTTTTCAGACCTTCAGCTATGTGAAGGGCTGCTCTAAGGAGAACAAGGATCAATTGTTCTCCGTGTCCACAGACAGTAAGACAAGACGCAATGGGCTTAATCTGTAGCAAGGGAGATTTTAGAGAACTTTCTCCCCGTAAGGATGGGAACAGGCTTCCAAGGTAGGTTGTGGAATCCCTGTCATTGGAGGTTTTTAAGAACAGGCTGGATAAACACACCCATCAGGGACACACTTAGTTTATCTTGTCATGCTTCAGTGTCGGGGCTTGAACTTGCTGAGCCCAACAGTTCTATGACTCTATGATCCCCATGAGCAGAGGGGCTAAGCAGTAGCCTGACAAAATTCCAGGCAGAAGACTCCTCCGAACCCCACAATTAATAACTTGTCTGTACGGTAACACTGTGCAGTCAAAAGATGAATTAATGAAGCACCCCATGGGATGTGAACCTCCGAGCACTAAGATCTGCTAGCAGGGATGCCTGGGGACCCCTGCCATCTGAATGCAATGGTGCCCAGCAGGTGTCTGCCTGGATTCCAGTGCAGGAGCAGAGTCAAGATAAACGAGCGCAAACATACAGTAGAAAATTAAAAACAATATTCAAAGAAAGATGGATGGGAGAGGAGGAGTGAACTGACCTCAGCGTGGACCGGAGTCCATTGTTCTTGCTGGTGTAAGGAACCAGTGAATGAGGAGATGTACTGACCAGCCAGTGTGCTAGAACAAGATGTGATGGGCAGCTCTCAGATAGCCAGGTCTTTCCTTATGGCTCTGATGGCATCTGCAGACACAGTTGCCATGTAAGTTGCAGAAAGCTTAGTGTCGGACGCCCCTGCCTATCCCTGGTTGGGGAGCACTGAGTCCCGTGAGGGTGCAAAGGCAGGGATGCAGGTAGCCGTGCAGAGCAAGGCCCGGCAGTGTCCCAGGCTCCGCGAGGTCAGATGGCCGTGCAGCCTTAGAAGTCCCGTGGGATCCAGATGCTGAAGATGCTGTTCCTCTTCCCTCCCCCCGCCCCCAGATCTCTGATGCTGTCTACAGGCTCATCTCTGACCAGATAAAGGCGCACTACGACGCCATGGTGACCAAATGTGAGCTGGAGCGTCCCAGGATGGAGAGCACCATCCGCACAGACATGGACCAGATCATCACGTCAAAGGAACACTTGGCAAGCAAGATCCGAGGTAAGACATGGGCTCCCACTTTGGGTGTGTCTGTGGGCAAAAAAAATCCCACCTGCAGCACAGACTCCAGATATGCAGACTTGGGCTCGTGCTCCGGCACTAACGAGCTGGGTGAGGTTCAGGCTCCGGGTACGATGCCTAAGGAGGGGGGG